AGTTAGCAACAACTTCCTCTGCCACAGCGAGCAGCCCCCCTACTCTGACAGCTACAACATGTGCAAGAAGGCACCAATAGCTTAGAAGATGGCAAGCAAAGAGCTACTGCACTTACCCTGCTTTTCAAAAAAATTTCATTGCTACCTATGTTCCCATTATTCACCTCTTGTGAATAATGTACTGTCATACTCAGCAGTACACCTGTGCAGCAAGGCATTTGGCTTCTCAGCTGGTCAAAAGGCACATCACAGCTGAAGAAAGCTAGGGGTTCCTGTGTTTCAGAACAAAAGCAGAGGCCATGGTGACAGGAGAGGAACATATATGCTGAATCTACTGCAGGCAGAAATAGAGGAAAGCACCAGCTCTCTGTCTGGTGTCCCACATAGTCAAGTTTAGTGAGTATAACCCAGCTGCACAGATGTAGGCAGCCATTCTGATTAATCTGGCAGTCCCACAGATTGACTGAATTAAAGCTTGGAAAGATGCTGTCAAGTCCATTTTACCAATACTTGTAGAAGTTATTTTAAGTGCCAGAGGAACATATTTTTCACCATGCCAGTAAGATTTCTCAGTTGCTTCTGGCTGCATAGTGTACTAAACACCAAAGCAACCAACAGCGTGACTGAAGTTAGACTGCCCCGCAGCACACTTGTCTACTACTGTGCCCTTTTGATGCAGCTACTTTGTTCAGGCTCTGAATCAGAATAAAAGAAATCAGATGGTTTGAATCCCACACGACCGCGAAAAAAGCTCATCACACCCATGAAGAGTATAAACCCTTCATGGCAGGGAGGAGACCTGACCCAGTGGAACACCTGCAATCACCTAATAGGGCTGAATGGGAAAGGATAGATGGGATAGAAGTCCAACTTTTCCAGTTGAGATTGTCAACTACTTACCAAAGTGGTCAGTTTCAAAAACAAACTTGTCTAGACTGCACAGTCCCCCCCAGTTCATTAGTTACCAGAAAGAGTGCCCAGATCTCTGTACAGGACAATTTGTACTGCTTCTCATTGTCTGTGTTTACTTGTTTGACAAATGCAATGCCTTTGTACAGGGCATTGTAAATCAATTATCTTACTGAACAAACACTAGAACCAATGAAACCTATAGCTGTATGTGACCCACAGGTACCTGGACAAGCAAGCAACGTCACAGCTGCAGGAAAGCCACTTCAAGTGAGAGCATTCAGCACTCCGAGAGAGGTGCTTGCACAGAAGGGCTGCTCGGGGCGCAGGTGCATTCTCCTGGAAACACATATTGAGTTCTCATATTTGTCTGTTCTTGTACCAGATGCACCTTTGCCGAGTCCGCTTGCCTGTGTCACTCAGAGCTGTATTTCTCTTTGCAAAGTAAATTAATCCCATCCCTCTTGTGCAAGGACAACCAGAGTGACAGTCTGATGCCTGGGTCAGATGAAATTTGTGCACTACACAGAAGTTTGAAATACAAGTATTGAACGACTTTTTTTTTTTTAATCTTGAAATTGAAACCTTCTATTTAGAAAATAAGGTCCTCTATGTCCTTCTGATAAGCTTCCAAAAGAGACAGTGGATTGTGGGAAATGTTGTAAGGAACAACTGACCAGGTATAAATATATAGGACAGTCAGATAACACTACACCACTTACTTAAAAATTATATATAGCGTTAAGTGAAACCATCTGTTCTGCCATGGCAGAATTATTTGCCATAATAGCAAATAATTTCCACAAAGGTGGGCACAAGGAACACTTTTAATGTGAAGTTAAATAATGGATAATGGTTTTTTCTCACCATATCCCCTTACTTCTTATACCCTGTTGGGCTCCAGTCCACCTCATGCCTGCCACCCTCAGCCTTGAGAGGCAGTGCTTTGCAGAGAGTGGGCTGCCCGTGCTGGCAAACACGACTCCCGTGGCACTGCGTGTGCTGGTGCTCAGCAGAGCTGCGTGACAGGAGCTGGGAGCAGCGGTGTTGGGAGGGCACAGCAGAAAGGGCGGGTAGGGGTCACTTCCCTACGCTCCCCTACCCTTGCTAATGCTGCTGATAGGTCCTGACAGGGGCCAGCACAGAGGGGACCGACTGCTGTGCAGACACCTGAGCCAGCAGGGCATTCTGAGGCCACCCTGGGCACCCGTGTCAGACCCCATTCCGGCCAGGCATGGGCTGCACTTCACTCTGTGCTGCTAAAGGCAGGCTGCCCCACGCCGTGGGTGCTTGGGCCAATACACAGTAGCCTTAACTGCATTATTTTGTAGCATAAACTACAGCATCTGTGTCGAAAGGAGGGCAATGTTAACAGTTCAGTATCAATAGTTTTCCTTTCTGCAAAAGTGTTGCCTTTTGCTATAAAGAAGAAATGAGAATATGTTAAAAACATCAAGAATGTATCTGCCTTGATTCCCCACAAGCAGAGTCTTCTGTTCCATACACGTAAATAGTAAAATTACCCCCATTTCCTTAAGAGTCCTGAAGTGCTACAGGTATTTTCACACAAACAAAAACTCTTCTATGTTAACAAGAGATTTCAATAATGTAGGGAACTGCACAGAGGTGGCTGACAGAGAACAAAGAATACAGATGCAGAGTAACAACTAACACATGGGAATTTTACCACATACAGAAAAAATTATGTAGCAACAGGGAACAAAGAGACAGCCCCCCCGCACCCGCCTTATGCATCCAAAAGAGATCACTTTATTGTAGAAGTCACCCCCACTTTATACCTTTAATCTCAACCAGACAAAACCAAAATTTAACAGAAGGGCACCCATTGGCTGGCTCAGCTGCAGTCTGCTGTCCAACTGTCCAGCCTGCAGCTGTGCCTTTCCAGCAGGGCCTTCTGGTGAACTTTGGTGAAAGCCTTAGCAACTTTAACAAATATAATCCCATATCCCACAAAATTATAAATGCTTTTAGCTGAAGTGAAAGTTTTTCCTAGAAGAATACATTTACCAGCAAAACATTTCCTCCTGAAAATGGATTCCCATTGCAACAGCTTCAAGTTAATTGTTAACAATGAATGCAAAACTAACTTGCAAATGCTCATATTTGTTAACACCTAAATTAGATGCTATAATTGTCAATGCAATTCAGTCTTTTCACAGAATCACAAAATCAATTAGGTTGGAAAAGACCTCCGAGATCAAGTCCAACCTATACCAAACACCACTACGTCAACTAGAGCATGGCACCAAGTGCCATGTCCAGCCTTTCCTTAAAGGCCTCCTGGGATGGTGACTTCACCACCTCCCTGGGAAGGTCACTGCAATGTCTAATCATTTCTCTGAAGAAATTCCCACAAATGTCCAACCTGAACAGCCCCTGGCACAGCCTGAGACTACATCCTCTTGTCCCATCACCAGCTGCCCAGACCCTACCTGGCTACACCCTCCTTTTAGGGAGCTGCAAAGAGAGATAAGGCTGCCCACCACCCCTGAGCCCTCTCTTTTCCAGGCTAAACAACCCCAGTTCCTTCAGCTGCTCCTCACAGGACTTGCCCTCCAGACCCTTCACCAGCTCTGCCCTCCCCTGGACACCCTGCAGCACCTCCATGTCTTTCCTGTGCTGAGGGGCCCAGAACTGGACACAGCACTCGAGGTGCCTCACCAGGGCCAAGTACTGGGGACAATCACTGTCCTAGTCCTGCTGGCCATGCTACTTCTCATATAAGCAATGATGTCATTGCCCTTCTTGCCCTGTGCTGGCTTGTCCCCAGCAGCTGTTGACCAGCAGCTCCAGGTCCCTTTCTGCCAGGCAGCTTTCCAGCCACTCTGCCCCTAGCCTGTGGCACTGCAAGGGTTTCCTGGGAACCAAGGGCAGGACTCAGAATTTCTCTTTGTTGAGCCTCATACTCTTGGCCTCTGCCGATCAATCCAGCCTGTCCAGACCCCTCTGGACATACTTTTAATATATACACTTGAATATACAGGGAAAGTCATAAACCATAAACTTAAGGTTTTACATATAGAAGTGAATTTGTTCTAGAACCCCTAGACCAGATAAATAACCTTTCAGATGTAATTTTAAACACTGAGTACTTTGTTTGCTTTTCAGTACAGAGAATCAGCACTTAGAGACTAATTTTTCTATAATGAGTATAAGACATACTTTCTAGGCAGAACAATAAGCCAAGGCCAAGGACTAAAAATAGGTATCCTTATAAGGTACTTCAAGTAACATTTCTGCTAACATCATTTAAACAGCGGTTTCTAAAAGGTATTTTCCTTGCTCTGGACCTCAAATAACGCATGAGCTCTTTGTAATTTTTAATAATCGGCATTTCCGACCCCGTCTCTGGGCTGGGGCAGTACGAGCGCCGGGGCACGGTCGGTGCAGCCGCAGAGCCCGGTGAGCGCTGCCGCCGCCCAGCCCCGCCCGGGGCCGCCCCGAGCCGGCTCCCGAATGATTTACTCTAACAACCGCGTCGCAGGGAATAAAAGGGCGATATTTTTGACTAACCACCAGCGGGGCGGGGCGGGCGGAGGTCCCGTTACTGATAAAGGGGAGCTCAGCGCTCCCCTGGGCCGGGGCTGCCGCCTCAGGCGCCGAGAGCTGCACACGCAGCGGGCGCGCTCCCGCAGCTGCGGTACAGAACACAGTGCCTGATGCCAGCCGTGTCTTAGCTGGGTAAAGACCTCTCAGTGCTCCTTCGCCTCGCATGGCAGCTCGCAGGGCGCTGAGCAGAGGCGGGACCCGGCCGCGCTGCGGAGGACACTGCGGGCGCTGCCCTCGCCCCCACGCTTGGATGAGCTCGCCGCCCCTCGAGCAAAGCCTGGCTGGCAGGGCCGGGATGAGGGCGAGCAGACCCGCTGGCTAAAAGGCTGCAGGTGCTGCCACAGCAGAGCCTGCAGGAGCTCAAGGCCGCTAATTAAGACTTACTAGGACCGCTGGTCTGATCACAAAGCGAATTGCTGCTTTTACAGAGGAAAGGGGTAACTGCTTCCACCTCCGGCACTAGCGGAGGCTGGGCTACAGGTGCAGCCCGTAATTCACCCGCAGAGCACACACAGAGCTGGTTCTGAGGAGCTGCAGCAAACTGTAGCATGACGTTTATTGAAGGTATTGATTCACACATTATTAGGAACACATGACCGTTTTAGGAAAGGTTATCAGAAATGCAAATATATTAAGTCATGTCAGACGTAAACCACCATCTGGTCCACTTTTGTACATGCTAAATGTATTTTTTTTTTTCTAGATTTGTCCACAGGGATGGTTAATAGCCCTCTTTCTTTTGGCAGAGTATTCTGTACAGACACACCTGGCCCAGCACCGGCATTCAAAAATAGAAATCATAGTGAATTTTTAATTTATTTTTTTTTTTAACGAGAAAAAAACATGTGAACCTTCTATCTTAAAGCTCTGCTTGAGTCGGGCAAGCTAAGCTGGAAGCTGATCTTATCCTTATGGCCAAAAGTAGAATACAATGGAAGCCTCCTCCAAGAAGAGAAAATTTACAGCTTTTATTAGGTGTTACAGATAACCAGAGTATGCTTTAATAGTCACTGTATAGACCAAAAGAGATATACAATTAATGTGAACATCTTATATTACTGAACTAGTATTACCACAAAAATTAAAAAGACTTTACCAGACCAAAACACTGCTTTGATCTGGTAATTTCAAGAGGGTTTTTTATTTGTTTACAAATATTCTTGTTATAGATTCTGCAATTCTAGAGCTGAGGCACTACAGCACAGGCATCAAAAATCTCAACCAAATTCCCAGTTTCTATATATACTATGACTAAAACTTCTTAAAAAATCTTTTCCATACAACTTCAGTCTCAAATCTCTTAAGTCTCTTAAATTTGTCTTAAATTTCTGGATATCAAAAAACACTATCATACTTGCTCCTGAGGATAATTAGCCCCCAAATAATTTTTAAAGTATACCTGAAATACATTGATAATTTACAAACATGTTTCAGGGTTAAATGATTCATAAGTACACGATTCTTTGGTAAATAATAACTACTCTGTTCTTTACTCAGTTAAAAAACTTAATTATTTTTAAATCTAGATTAACTGATTTAATAATTATTTCTCTAATGAATAAGGCTCACATGGCACAATGCTGAGTGGGATGAATGGCTGTATGTATCAAAACCTGAATGATGTTTTCAGGCTACAAATCCTGTTAATACTAGGTTCCTGCTCTGGCTCAATTTGGTTTTGTGCTGTTCAGCCAGCCTCAGGAATCTAGATCTGAATAAGAGCTTTCTAATGAATTAGAATTCCAACATTTAAAGGTGTCAGCAATCTAGAAAATACTGTCCATTGCAAAGATACATTCTACAGTAGGTAGTGGATTGCATGCTAAAAACTACAACAAACCAATTAGTTTAAGTTTGAAATAATACATTACAGCTGCAGTATTTCCTAAAAATGTCTGCTTTACCACTTATGCAGTGTAACAGAAAACCTATGCACTATGCATGCATGTGGAGCTGAGGATGACTGCTTGCTCCCAAAGGAAACCTAAAGGCACAGGATACAGGTAATGTGAATGAAAACCTGGAAACAAACATTGGCTTCCATTTTATTAGGAGAATCCAATTAGGAGGTGAATACCTAAACTGATATTTTACTGTTTGTGTACTAGATGCCTTTGCTTCGGCTAGAAGATACTAGATCATGTCCTTTAAGAAAAAATAAAATTAAATAGATCTTGTCATTTCAGAGGAGAAATAAAAATATGTCTGCTTTAGGTTTGGCTTATAGAGGTTTGGGGTTTATTTTAAACATGTCCAAGAACTGATCTGATATTATTTTTGATAACTGTTACAGTTTTACTGTTCCACTAGAGTTTTTAATTATCTGCTTTGTTAAAGGATTAATTACATTTGAGACAATAAATAATATAGTTTACAATAAATAATTTTCAAGTCAAAGTATTGTACTTACAAAATAATGTAATACTGTAATAGAATCTTCAACAATTTCATTTTATATATTCTGCAGCAAAAATAACATTTCTAGTAGGAAGGAATTACTTATAAACCTAGCAAGATCTACACATTCACATGTGTGTGTAAACAACTTAACGAGGTTTATTATGTTCCCAGAAAAGCTATGCTTTTACAGTAGGTTTTCAGCTAGATTTTATTATAATATAATGGTAGGAAATATAGAACAGTGCTTATGTTTAGCTCCATCACAAGTTAAAAAAAAAAGAAATGGAGTGCAATTTACAAGCAGCAATTTTCCTTTTACTTCACAAGTGACTGTATCTGTGTGTTAACAAAATGTTAGGGCGAGGCATTCCAGATGAACTGCAGCTAAGTTTGGATGAGGATGATTTCAGGATGAACAGTGAAGGTCTTGGCAATAAATACCTAGAAAGGATATGAAAAATACAGCAAAGTTTACAGACAAAGCAACATTCAAGAGCAAAAGAATTAGTTGTTACTGTGCCAGACTTTGTAATTGGTATGAGTGAAAACTCAGTACATTAAATGCTATTTATGAAACACAGAGGGCAATAGGCACAAACTAACTCAGAAAAGGAATCTAAACTCTGTTGTATGGGGATTAAACATCTTTCCAGTCCTTTATATTTCAAGCCATGAAATAAATAAACAATGGAATCCTGTGTAAACAACAGAATCCTGCTTAATTTAAACTGGTCAAAAACTGCAAATGACATTAACCATTTTATAAAAGTTAGATTGCAAAAAAAAAAAAAAAGTCAAACTGATTAGAGAATGAAAAAGATTTTCAGCTTTGCTTTCCAGATCTAATGTTCTAAGAACAGACATGTTATCATCACTACCTTAGTAAAGGAAGAAATGATCCTACAACCTAGTAATTCATATCAGTGACAATTTACCTTTTAAATTCAGGCAACTGTATAGCTTGCATTTCATCTAATAATACAAACAGTATTTTATCGTATGCCTAATATTAATTCTTAAATATTTTCACGCTGTAATTACCTAAAAGTTAAATGTAGAAGTCAATTAAGTGTGCAAAAATAACATCCATACTAAATCAGAATTTCACAATGAATTATGTCAATGTTAGGATGGATTAACACAACACACTGTATAAATTATGGCTTAAAAATTCTTGTGCAATTCCAGTGAATCACCTTGATTAATGATAAACAAGAAGTTAAAAGACTGGTCAGACCAATCTTATGGATAGAAACAGCAGCACTGTCAAGGGGAGGCAATCTATATAAGAACGTGTACACATGTGCTCTGTTTAAGCTTAAGAAAAACTTTATCACCAATATATTTTTTAAAGCATTTGTGAAAAAAGAAAGTCTGATTTGGAATGGATTGGTGGTGAGCTTGACAGTTCACTGTCACCAGACTGAGTCCTACCTTTGCTTGATGATACAGTAAAAAACTAGTACTTCCCAGAGAATATGCCATGTAACAGAGAAGGTCATTTAGCAAGCTGTAAGGACCTAGTGGTAGATTTTTTTATTATTTATTTATTTATTTATTTGTAACACAGGTTACTTTATGACTTTTACACCATTTGATTTTAGCTAATTTTTTTAAGAGACTTTGCTATAGTTTTTGAGCAGTCCTATCATTTTATTTACTTCAAGGATTTACAGTTAAGAGATAGAACTGAAAAGAAATTTGAGAAGTTGTTGAAGAACTCTGCAGCAGTTTTCATTATCATTTTATCTCTCTCTGTACAAACAAATTTTCCCAGCTAAAGAGGTATCTATTTTTAAACTGTGAAAACTTTAGTTTCATAAACTTTTGTTTCTTAAGCACAAACAAAATTAAAAATTGGTTTGTGCTCAGAAAACACAAAGTTGTTCAAATTAGATTTTATAAAGTCTTGAAAAAATTGACTTCTCATACATATATTACATTATACTCTAATATTTTCTTGCACCACATAATTTTATGAAGAGTCAGGAAAACTATTATTAGTAGTGGAGATTCATTAAAAACAGAAACCTAAGTGAAACGTGTAACACAGGTATTGTGGTTCTCCCATTTCTAGAAAAGCAGTTCATTACCATTACAATTGTGGGCCGTAACAAACAAGAGAATTTATTTCTGAATGTGTCTTTCATTTCACAAATTCAGAATATCATGGTTAACTGGCATATTGCTGTATTCATATCTAGATGAAACATTTATGGAGACTAGTATAAAAACTGTAACTTTAATCAATCAGAGTTGTCCTGACACTCCATTACTGATATTTAGGATATACAGGGCTTAGATTCCTCTAGCCTATGAAATTTATTAATAACTTCCATTCAACATCCAGAGAAATACAGAACCTGGAGACGAGAAAGTTCTCTTGGACCATCCTTTTCATTGCATTCCAAATGCAGGTCTGTTAGCTGAGTACATTAGAGTAATCTGATCAGTTTGAATAGTTTGTGATTGGTCATGATGTAAAATTTTCTGCAGTATTAACAGTAAAGGCAATAAAAATTTTGAGATTTTCTAGTCTTAGCTAATCCAAATGACTTTACCATACTTCTGCACTAACTCAGTAGATGTTAATATTGAATGTGACTGGTTTGTGGCTAACATACTTCTGCTATTGCTGTGATCAAACAAATCTAGGTTCTGGGTGGCTTTAAATTATGTTAGAGTATTTTAAGATCCATATGTCAATAACACATGGGTCAAGTGTATCAAATAACTAATCTGAGATATATCAATTAAGTCATAAAATAAGTTTAACAGATAATATAACAAAAATTCATTTTTCACATAATACTTAACTCACAAAGCCCTTCTATGTAACAATATATGTAAGATAATTTATATAAACAAAGCATTTGTAATTTTATATATACAATAATTAAAATGGGATAGAATTTGGATCCTAAGTAATTTAAAATTGACATTTAATTATCTATTACTGTTTAATTGCAAATTGTTGACTGCCACAGTTGGAGCATTCTAAGTAATCCAATAGAATTATATTATTAATAGTAATAATGATAATATTATAGTCCCTATTGTATCCAGTTGGGGAACTGAACCAGCCAATGGAGAATCAGGTAAGTGCCAAATAATTCTTTTACTATATGATGCTGTTTTGCAAGGTTTGAAAATATATTTGTGCTCCATAAGATGGAATAATAAAACTTTCGATCTATAGGTTTTGGAAATTAACTTTGCAAAACTGTGCAATACAGTAAATCAGGTGGCACTTACCTGACCCTTGGCTGGAGCTGTGCCCCTATAGCATCCCACTGCGAATGTGAAGCCTGAAGTATCTGACATGTTAGGATACCTCTAGGAATGCAAATCTGGAAACAGTGATTTTGAGGGATCTGAGAAGGGGAAGAAAGGAAATTTTCAGTTCACTTTATGGAAAGCCTTTGCTGCAGCTAATTAGGCAGTAGGCAATCAAGAGTTTAATATGTATACTTTCACACAAGATGTGTATGTCAAGTTTTCTTTTGTTAGCACTTCATGACTGGGGTACTGAGATTAGAATGACTGAAAGTCAGGATCAAGGGAAATTTGGGAGAGTTTGCTGGGTATTTTTCTTAAATACAGAGGGAACCAGACTTAAAAGTTTAGTGGTAGCAACATGGACTAAAACCTATTCCAGTACTATCCTTTATATGCATAATTTAGGAGGAAAATAATTCAAATTTATACCTTGTATCATCCCAGTGGTGGCTCATCCCAGTTGGGGATCCTCTTGAATCTGATGAAAGTTTGTAAACTACCAGCAGGCAGTGTTTACAAAGCTGTACTATTCGTTGGCAGCACTGGAGTTGCTCAGGAGTCACTGCCTCTGAGCCTTTACTGAATATGGTTTCCCAAGAGCTCCTATTATGAAAAAAGAAACAAATTCATGGTCTCTGTCACAAATTGCAACCTAAGAGCTTTACTGCTTTATATCAGATTTAACAACAGAGGAACAAGAGAAAAAGCTCAACCTTGTGTGTGTACAGGAAAGGCTTCTAATATTTAACACAAATACTGGTAGATGTTGAATCCGAAACAAACTAAGAAGTTAATCTTTATATGGGAAATGTCCACTGCCATTTTGCATTTGGTCTGTTCCCTGAAGTGTTTACAGAGCCATTACTTAGGTTTAAGCTGTAAGGAGTTACTGTCACAAAACTGTGTATTTGTCTTACAATAAGAATAACACAAAACACTTACTCTTTTTAATAGGCTACCACCTGAATGAAATTATGATATTAAAGGAATTAATAAAAGTAATACATTATTTCTAAATGTCCACACAGCATAATAATACTTTTATGGTAAGTACCTGATACTAAGAAACAAATATGAAATTATTTTACAGGATATTAGTATGTGCTCTGCTTCCTTATCCAAAAATTCATATGAAAAGGGTCTCTCAGTTTAGTCATTCAAACATTGCTTATTATTTCCTCTGGTCACATGAGGTTGGTTATCTACAATTAAATGCAAATTGCAAAGTACATCAATAGAAAAATTTCTTTTGTTTTCTTAAGAAGCTATTTTTGGGGGGGGAAATAAAAGCCACCAAGGCCTACCACACCAATATAAACCAGGTGTGTTTCAGCACAGGAGACTAGAATAAATAGTTCTTTGCATACACCACAACATCCTTGTTTGTGCAAAATTCTGACCAAATTACAGGACATGGTGCTTGTGAAGACTTTTTTTTGAACAAAATTATTATCCAGTAGCACAGATGATATGTAAGCTTGAGCTTTTTTGTTTGTCAGGAAAATTTGCTGCATCTGGCTTCAACATAGCATCCACGCCAATTTAGCCTTGCCCACAGAGAACAGCAGTAGATTTCACAATGCTGGTATAGAAAGCATTAAAACAACATCATAGAACCAGCCAGCTCACTCCTGCCTAGTAAGAATTTTTTTTTTTGCTGCATTTCAGTATGAGGGTGGTGAGATGTTGGCACAGGTTTCCCAGGGAGGCTATGGACGCCCCAGCCCTGACAGTGTTCAAAACCAGGTTGGATAAGGCCTTGAGCAACCTGGTCTAGTGGGAGGTGTCCCTGTTCATGGCTGAGGGGGCAGGACTAGGTGATCTTTAAGGTCCACTCCAACCCCTTAACATTGTATGAATCAATGATTCTATGATTAGGATGGAATTAAGACCATTAATGACTAAAAGATGAGCTGTATGTATAGCTAACTGATTTGTCAGCCTGGCTCCTCTGTCTAGATGGTATTTTCCAGCTGAAAACATTCAGTCCTACAGAATTTTCATTGCAAACATAAATTTCAATGATGCAAGCATTTGTCCCTAATTATCATTCATGCAATTGTTTAAGAAGTATTGTTTATATACATGTAAACTGTTTAATTTCACAAACTGAATAATCATAGACTCATTTAGGTTGGAAATGACCTCTTAAGATCATTGAGTCATACTACTAATTTAATATATTTTTTTCAATTATTTTCTGTCTGGGAACTGTCCATATGTATTTTTTTATAGAAATTAATCTATTGTCTTCAGTCTTTCCTCATGAAAGCACGTTGGAAGAAGGTAGCAAGATGACAGTCTAAATATTACACTCATACAACAGATTCACATTGCTACACATAATTATATTATAATTCACTCCATAAAACTCAGAAATCCTATAGAAGAAACTTTCCTGATAAATTCCTTAGGTTCTGGACTTTGTGATAACTTTTCTACAGTTAAGAGGGATTTTTCAGTGACAAATAATATATGGCCTGCTGCAACCATGGCTGACTATATGCTAGTGCTATATAGTTACCCTAACAACAAAGATTTGGAAACATACACATGAATTTTAATGAGCTTTCATATAAATGTGCCTGTGCAACCTCTCCCATGTGTCAGACAGATTCAGTTTATTCTCCATTATACTACAATCAACAGGGTTTAGAATTCTGTTTCCTAAGTTTAATTGGTTAAGCTGTAACTTTAGCTTCCATACGTTAGTAAGAAATCACAGACTCCTCACTAGATACAAAAAAGAGCATTATACTGGATTGTGCAATGTGGCCAATTATATATTATTCTTTTTATAACCATCTCAAGTCAACTGGTTCTTCTAGTTTTCTTCTATTAGTTTTAATTGTTTATTATACAATAAAACAAATGAACCTTTAGGAAACCCTCTACATCACCTTTTTTCAATGAGATTTTCTTTGTTCTTTCTTTTCATTAAAATAGTACATACCTAGAAGAGATGTAACCAGCAAGAGGAAACCTTAAGGCCATTAGTTCCACTATTCTCCCAAGGCATCTATCCTACGAACAGTGAACATACTACACTCCTTAATGTATTTTCATATAGTAATGTTTTTTCTGAATCAGCACATTAACACCCCTTTCCCAACACATTTCTCCAAAATCTACATAAGCCCTATGTTTATTCCACTCTGTTCTTTAAAATGGCACAACGAACTCTTGGGGAAGAAAGATGAGAAGCTGGCCTCTCTGCTACAGATGTGCTGTCATGAGTTCTCAGTTGTGTGTTATGGGACAAGAAGGATGCTTGTAACTGAATAAACAAAATACTGGCAAGGTGCAAACAGCCTTTTTGTTTTCTTCCATGAATTCTGTATTATCCATAACAAGTGTATTACATGCAGAGTGATCACTACACATACTGGATATTTCTATATTACTTTTACAGTATTTTTAGAATCTATTATGTAATAACTCCTCTTACAAGGAACTGGATCTTTATCAAAGAATAGCTCCGCCTATAATATTTTATGACAAGACTTGAGTTTGTACTCAAGATTTCACACACCTCTGCTAGTTTGAAGAAAAGAAAAAAATGTGAAGAATCTTAACAGCTTACACAACAAAAAGGTTTCAGCATGAGAAGATGATGGTACAAGACCTGTTGATCTTTTGGATCACTCAGATCCCTCTTATTATTATCCATTTTCTTGGGAAACAATTAACAAGGACAATGTGCAAGTTCTCCACATATGATAAATGACTATATGTGAACAACATATTGACTTGATTCCTTTGTACATAAAGTATCCAGCAGCACACTAATTCTTGTAGTTCATTTTCAATACATCTTTTAGACACCTTATTCAAGCTAATAAAACCTCCTCCCATTCTTTATGCATTTTATATACTAACAGATAAAATATCCTTTTTTTGTATGCAATATATTTCATTTTTTTCTAAATTGTATTTTTATTTTATGAATAAATTTGTGGGTGGGAGGAATTGTTTTTATGATATTTTATATGATACTTTATATGACTCCCCAAACCTGTTTTTTTACCAATGCATTTGATTTCAGGAACCTAGATTCTGAAGTGTAGGTTATTGAACATATTTATACTCCCGGGTCTTTTCTTCACTGTAGAGAACTTGTATTTGCTACCCAAACCAAAAATACCTGCTTATATGGATATTTCATATTCTTCATATACTTAACTTCCTACCAGTATGGGAAACAGAGAATGTAATCAAGCACAGAATTTTGAACTGTTTATTAGTAAATCACAGAAGTGACATTGCATCTGGTGTGAGATGTCAGCTGTACTTGTGACTGAACTCTCCTTCTGAGTCTGGAGCTCAAATACAGGAGCCCACATATAATGATTTCTGTTGATGGCAAGTCCACATTTGACACAGTGATCTGGCCTTTACATCATACACCATCCAGTAAAAGAGTTGACTTAAGGCTGAAATATTTTGAATAATACATTTTTTCCTTAGATTATTATATTTGTAAATACATTACTAAATGTTTGATTCCATTTCTGAAAAGGTTGACTTTGATTGCTAGATTTAATTCTAGTATATATATTAAAGTGCTTTTAAAACAAGTTCAATGTATTCCATCATTCTTGTGAATGAAAATGAGCAATGAAGTATACCAGTATTGATTATCATTGTGAAGTTATGAAGAAGAAGAAAAGAAGTCGTCTTACCCTGAATTACAGAAACAGTTCCATAGGCCTTGACCATGGCTCCAAAGTAAGCGATTAAATACACGGTTAAAAAGACGGTGGAGGTGTAAATTTTCAATGTCTGGAGCTTTCCAGACATGCTGTAGAACTGCACGGACACTTGTCCTGACTATATCCAAAACCTACAAAAGAGCATTCCAAGTAAATCAAATACATTTTCCAAAATCAAAGACATTTGGGCAAAAAAAACCCCAGCTGATGGCTGATGCCCTGCACACATACAGACAGCTATCCCTATACAAATGACTGCATACCTGTACATTCCTACAGAGGTCTGGGGTTCATTTCCATGCATTCATCAGCTAACTTTTATTATATTTTCTTTCTGTTAGTAACATTTTGCAAAGCCAAATCAAAGTATTTTATTTTTATTACCAAAAAGTTAATTTTGTTTTTTCAGTCTGTTCAATACTAGATTATTAAAATGACAGAAAGGGTAAAAAGAAACAAAATGGACACAATTAAAGACTAGAAACAACTTAATTAACCCAAGTATTGTATATCTGCTTTTCCTTCTCCCTTGTAAAATACCATCTATTTTATGAAGAACTAAAATGTCCCAAAAAACTACAAACTGCCTTTGGCTTAATGTCTGTTTAAGCTCAGTGTCACTGTGAATCAAACCATATTAGTGTACCTGGCAGGAGACAGTGTAGTGAAATCAGTAAGAAAATAATCAGCAAGATATTTAAAACAGAAACATTTATAGATGCGCCATGGATTTATTACATACAGACTACATTTAAATGCAAGAGCACAAAGGCTGAGCTCGTTCATTATAGTGCTAGACAGCTGCACATCCAATTTACCAGAGTCCTGCATACACCTTTGCACATCCCACTGAACTGGGGCATGGAAGGAAGGTGGAATTCATCCTGCCTGCTTTTAAATATCTGGACGTTCTCTTAAATCAGTCCTCTATGTTCTCTTCATAATCCCTGGAGAGAATCAGACTCCAAAGTGTCTTGGATTCTATTTAGATACTATCAATAAGTCTGGGAATAGTTTTGTGACCAATGTAGTATTTAGGCCCCATATTTACACTCTGAAGGGTGTAAAATCTGTCCTACAAAAAAGCCTACAGTGCATGTAAACTATCAACAAAAAAGCCAGTTAAATCCATGACATTTCCTTTAAAGAGAACACCCTCTCTGCCTCTTTTGCATAACAGCATCTTCCAAAAAACCAACCAGACTCAAGTAGGTGGTAAGCAGATGGAGGTACTTGCTAATTTGGTGTAAGATTTTATAAATTAGAAGTTACAATGCTTTCCCTGGAAACTTTCAGATATGTAGGACAAACTGATTTTTGTGCTGAATCGTGGTTCTCAAAAGGTGAAATAGATTTAGTAGAACAGTAAAGTATGGAAGAATGGCATGGAATTTCAATTTTTGGGTCCTGCACTACAAACTGTTGTTTATAAATTGTCTGACAATGAAGGAAGAAAAGCTTAAATAAACAATATGCTTGTAATAGCACAAGGAAGCTGTGTAGTACACCTAATGGGCAGAAAATCTATAGAGACCTAATAATGAGAGCCTTGATGAAATATGTTTTTTTCCATGTTATTTAAACTCTTTTTGAAGACCTGGGATTACTGTGCATGCACAGGTCTTGCAGTAACTCCATGCACATAATAACCCAAAGTAAATACAATACTGGCTTCTCTGAATCTCCATGAATGTAGGTGTGCAATGCACTACAACCCACACCCATGGCCTACTCCTCCCAAAGAGTGAGATAGAAAGAGTAAGATACTAAAATGAAAGGGTGCTGATCTCTTTTACTGACAGCAGGAACTAAACCCAGGTTTTGGACTGTCCCATGCCTGTAACACAGGCCCAGACTTTCAGACACTTCCTTAGCAGCATTAGCCCTCATGGTTCCCAAGCCCTTTTCCTTGTGTCTCACCTGTCCAAGGCATTCCCACACACGGTCAGTATGTGGTCAAACATGCACCTGAAACAGCTGACTCCCTAAAGCACATAAAGATCAACCCTACATTTCTTTGCAATGTTACCTTGACTAATAGTATCTCCCTGTGTGAAAAAGAACAATTCCAACCTGTATAGACTCTCTCACTAGTCCAAAAGACATAAGCTAAGAACAACAATGTCAGTGTAAAGCTTTTTCTTTCACTGTAGTATCTGGAGTTGAAGAAAACTAAGAACTGAACATCTTAGAGCAAGCCACAGGCTGTCAGGTACTCTGGGAAAAAAAAAAAAAAATCTTTCTTGCTGTTTTACTGTGCTGATATTGCCAATATGCCAGAACAGGAAATGTGCCAGTTAATTGTCCTTAATTTGCAAACGTTGCAAAAAAAAATCATCCATTTAAGAATGAGACAAGGCCTTGCACAAGAGCTGGACCTTCATTAAACCTACATCTTCATTTTTCTAAGTTAATTTACCTAGCTTGCCTTCATCTTTCTGTTTCATTTACATCATTTACTTTAACAGAACAAATTATCTAGGTATAACAGAACAGATGTTATGAAAGGGCATATTCAAAACCCTCTGGTAAACATCAAAACACTTTTAAAGAAATTATGTAAAGTGATGCAACATGAAGCAGTCATAACTCCTCCCTTACCAAAATCTCTTTGAATTGAAAGTCTTAGAGGTTAAATTTCTTTTTAACATGAATTGATATAATTGGTTTACTCTCAACTTACTTCTCAATGCCTCCTGTACCAACACTGTAAATGCCAGAATATTACACACTAGAAATATAAGTGCAAGTTAAATTCTCCAGTATCATGTTGAATAATTGTTAAGCAAATACAGCTGTCAGGGATGAACATTGGGAAATCTAGTACATTGCCCAGGTATTTTCTTCTTGCATGTTAGAATTTCCCAGTAAGTGCAAAGGGGACTGCGATTCTGTTTTGTATTTCACAAAGTTGCAAAAGAGACCTTTGAGACAGATTCCTTACTTGCATAAATATTCTACACCTTGTTCATTTCTCCTTCACCCACCTCATTGGAATATAAAACATACTTCTTTCAAATCAACAAAAGACATTTGGCAGTCCTCAGCTGCAATGTCATTGTCAAAGTTAATCCATTTTTATAAACTACCCTTCTAAGAATAACTATCTGATTGCTTGAAGGGATTGAGGTTAAAAGCAGTTAAAAAAAAAAAAGGCAAATCATTTCCAGTGCAAGCAAAGATGAAGGGCTCACTAGTGCTTCAGTGTAAGTCTCCTAAAGTTGTAAAAGATGTCCTCTCAAGAAGAGCAAAAAGTCCACATTTCTGATTGTGCAGTTTTTGCAAGTAACAACCTGGCACATCAGTCTCTGTCATCCTGACTTTGTACATGTGCCCTTGGTTTAACATGACTGCCAGTCAAGTAAAGGGCAGAACCACCCTCTATCAGAGGCTTTCTGAAATAACACTTAAAGGAGAAAATTCTTTGCTTGGTAGGTCCCTTTTTTATTCAACATGATCTATTCTAATACTGTGGCACACAGTATTAGTGGGTCAAATTCTTGAACAGCCAAGTGCAGTATCAGTACCTCTAATGGAGTTTTAATATACCTGGTCAGAAACTGCTGACTGGTGTAGCCCTTATCAGTCAAATCTGCCGAGTGAATACCCTTCTAAAAATGTTAGTTACAACTTAGGTATTTAGGCACTACTCACTTATTTGTTTCCTTTTTTTTAGCAGACTAATTTTTTTAGAAATTGAATTTGAAATTATAATCCAGAATAATCATGCTTCTCCAAATATGGATCAATATAATGTCCTATAGTAGAATTAATGTATATCTATATTAGTACCAATAACCAGTATTTTGGCATCTCAAGTCACTCCCAGCTATAGCTAAACACCAGTAGAAACACTGCTATGCATCTACTTTAGATGACCTTCTGAAAATGAAATCTGCCACTTACTTTTCGTTGCTTTGCTGAATCCAGTTTTACCAACCAATAGGATGACACTTTTGTTTTATGGTACTTCCAATTATCCATAATCTGTGATCATTGTAAAACACAAGACAAAAAATACACATGAAAACAACTGAAAGCTGCTCTTTCATTCACGAGTACTCCTAACGCTTAAAAATGCATCTTAAAGATTGCAGTGAGAAGTTTCCTCTAAAAGAAATAGAAAAAATATTTGCAAATTTTTGTGGGGCAACATTTGCAAAGATCTGTGTGGTGCTTCAGTTTAATGCTACCCTCTTTTCTACCTAATTCTGACAATTATGCACTACAAAGCAGTTTGAAAGTTGTCTTGAATGTCTCAGCTCAGATTTTTTGAAAATAGTAAGTTTAATAATGCATAACTATGATCTATTTAAATAGTGAGGAGTTTTGCTGCATATGGGACATTAGACATACCTGGGAAACATCCTTTCTCTAAATAATCATATATGAGCTTCAGCACCAACACTCTGCTTTCACAAAATCGAATTGCTACCAAAATAACTCAAGCTATGAACATACATTTTTATTCTCCTTTTGGTTTCTTGTCTTTCTACTCTACTCCCGGCCTTCAACAAGTTCTGTCTCACCAGCACTTGCTCTCCTCCATGATGAACTATTTCCCATCAGGAATTGGCTATGGCCAGGTGAATTTTAGAAGCGTTCTGCTGCAGAAGGGTGTGGGGCTCCCCAGGCTGACACTGAGTGAGGAAGCACGGCCAGACGGAGCACCCGCAGCCCCCTCACACAGAACTACAGCAGGGACAACATGGAATGAAGCCTTCCAGTTCTGCTTCTGAGGAGCCCAATCTGCTGGTTGTGAATACCATCACCAAATCAACCATCACTACAGAAGAATTTGTTTCCACTCCAATGTAGCTGCAGAGATTACTAGAAACATAATCAGCATTCTGGAAGCTCACAGAGCTTAGGACATTTCTGGTCAGATAATAAATCAGATGAATTTTAACACATCAGGGACTATGCTCACTACATCAGAGCACAAGTATTAATTTGAATCCTTTCATTTTTCTTCTAAACTGAGAAGAGAACATCTATCTTTATTTTTTTCTTTTTCATCCTGTTAGCTTCTTTGCATTAAATATTTACAAGGTATTTAGACAGCAGGCAATTTCTGCTTATATATATAAATATAAAGTATTGGGCTTTAATTGACCTTTAGTTCTGCATTGTTTCACATGTCTTTGATACCAAACTACAAGGCTCAGGACAACATTAGATGTGAGAAAGGCTGGTTTGCTAGACTACAAGTGCCAAAAGGTGCGTGACTGGCGTTCTTTATGACCCTCAAACCTCCATTCTGCCTGCAGCATACCATTCTAAGTTCTCTAGTATGTCTGCCTGAGAGCAAGTTAAACAGCTATTGTGTTTTAAAAATATCAGATTAAATATGAATTGTAACATCCTTTTTGGCTTACTTAAAAGTTTGAACTTTCTCTACAATGAAAAACTGAATTTTCCTAACCCTCCTGATTACTTCTCATATATTTTATAAGGACATAGGAATGTTTTCAGTGAAAGCATGCAAAGCTCCAAGCTTTCAAATTCTTTTGAGTTATTCTGAGTTCTGGAAGTTTTAGGGCCACAGGAGCTAATGAATCATAGACTGAGCTTTTTAATTTCCTTCATTTCAGTAGCCTAAACAGTGTCTAGCTTGTTCTTCTTTCTTATTTATAGATACTTACATCTTCTATAATTAATTCAGATTCTTCATTTGTTTTTCCTGGGAACTTGACTCTCAAGTCATTGATAAGGAGAAGAGTCTCTTTTGTCAAAGCAACTTCTTGCTCTTTTGTTTTCTGTTGCAGCAAAGACTCACTCTAAAAGCCAACACAAAGCAGAGAAAAACATTTCAAGTGTGCCATTAAATCACACTGCAAAGATGTTTGCTTGACAAAAAAAAATTCTAGAGTGACATAAAATATATTATTAAAGTGGATAGACATTATCTAATACAGAACTAATACATATCACATACATTAATGCATCACCATTACTTAGAGTTGTCAAGAAATCCAAGAAAAACAGTTTAAATATACTTGTTTGAAATAGAATAAACAAACATATATTCCATATTTATGGTGCCCACAATTTAAAGTATAAATTTGAAACTGAGATAACAGACTTTGAATTTAAATTCAACATAATGAAAAATATTAGTCATAAAAAGCATCCTTTCAGTTCCTCACTTCAACAATTTAATATAAACTGGCAATATATCACAGGGCCAAGATTTCAGGAGGCATTAAAAAGGACATTTTTCTCCTACTTTAGTCAGTAAGGGGTCTGACAGTGTCTTCAGTTGTCCAGAGTTCTGTTTAAAGTATCAGTGCTTTTTACACCAACCCTGATCTGAACCCCTGCAGTGTCTGCAGAAGACCATCTCTGGAGGATTTGGGGAGTCTTCTTTAAAACATGACACGCTAGTTAGAAGTGTTTCTGATCCTTTTCCTTTACTTTCACATACTTTTGCACTTTCACACTTGCAAGACCAAGTCAGTTTAATTTTAACATTTTTCAAGAGTGAAATTCGAAATTTTTAGGCACTTCTAATTTTTGTATCCTGTAACAGCTACAACACATAAGGATATATTTATTCGAGTGGTAAGTATTTTCAAGCAACAAAAAAATACTTTGGTATTTATATATTTATATTTGGTATGATAAGATAGCAAATATTTTCAAATCCACTTTTGTTTATAACTCCTATAAGAATATGTCTGTAATTCCCAACTGTGAATGATTTATTTTAAATGATGTTTGCCTACGTTTAGAACATTTGTATCTCAGCAGACTCCAAAAATGCTCTGCTCTTTTCTTGACCAAAGGATAGATAAACTAACACTTTATCATGCACAAATGATTTCTTCTTAGTAAGTCACAGTTTATCAATTTTAATGTTATTCTAGCAGTAATATATATTATATTATTCTTAGTTGCAAAAATAATTATGAACAGAGTCCCATTCAGAATACAGTGCTTAATTATAAGTAGCTGTTATCCATTCTGTAAGTAATTTTATTCACATCATTTTTAGGAAGCATGACCTAAGCTCTATCACCCAAAGTAATTGTTCTGCACATCAAGATCATTTCTGTGGTGAAGCTTGCTCAATGAAAAAGAGCGTATGCTTTCTTACTAATGTTAATTTAAGCGAGTAGCCCATTTTTAACATCAGATGGTAAGAGACTGCTTTTAATCTTTCAGTAATTTGTATTTGATATAAAGTTAATGTGAATAGAAAAATCCATATTAGCACTGTCTCATTAAACTCTCAGAGTACATCATGATGATAAAAGGGTACTTTTTAAACTTGAGATAGCTAATGTGATAAAAAATACCTTTGACGCCTTTAAAAACCTTTAAATTAACCTTTAAAAAATACTGTTGTTGTGAAGACACAATCTTAATGTCCTTCCTATTCTAGTAGCTGACTTTAAAGATGGAAAACCATGTTAAGGACTATTTCACAAGATGTCAGCACGCAATTTTAAAAGGTTCCTTTTTCATCATTTAGACAAAGCTTCACAGACAATGAGCATTCTACTGGATAAAAATGATGATTAGATATAGTAAATACTATGAAGCAATTAGCATTACAAAAGGTTTTCTCACAATCAAAGCTCACCATAATACTGAGAGGCAGCAAATACGGGTTAAAAGTGCCAATTTGTTTTGCCCCATCTCTGCACAAATTATTTGGGTGGTGAAATATAGGTCAGGCATCAAAACACAAATGGAAACACTCTGGCACCAGCAGGCAATGCAATCCTGAATGAGGCTGGGGATTGATCCCTGCAAACACTGCCTAGGGGTAAGTGAATATGGGCTCCACCATGCCAACACAAAAGAAGAAATGCCTGGGTGGTGAAGGAGATACCTAAGAGGATGACAATCTGCTAACAAAATGAAAAAATATACATGGTCCAGAAGAATATTGTGAAAGTACAACTAATCACAATTCTAATTCTAATTCTAAACAATTAAAAGTGTTTGATCTGTTAATTATTTGGGCCAGTTACTTGTCTGTCTCAAGGAGAAGATTCAAATAGAAGATACTTTATATTCTTTTTTAAAAGAGAATGGCTTCTGAGTCAGTTACTGCAATGGCAAATCCCAAAGACCACAAGCACTGTGCAAATCAGTTGATACCTTTGGAATTAGAGCTCTACTGCATTAGTATAGCATATGCAAAAGAGGTCCAGTAGGTTGAAAATTAATCTCACCTTCTTCTACAATGGACAGCCATATAAAGACTTACGAATATTTTACTCTGGCACAATATATTTACCCTTGCACTATACACTGGGTTTGAAATCTGGATGTATTGTTGTTACTGTAAACATTTTGAAGGTAGGTACAGCATTCAGAACCAGTATGCTCCAAACAAATCACAGAATTTTTTTAAGAGCGGTAATGATCCTTTCTGTTTTCAAAAGCCTATTTAGAAGTGAAGGTTTTCCATTCTCTTAAGATTCCCATTTCCACAAAATGTAGCATCTGTACTGCTGCACCACAACCACTGAGACATCACAACTGGCACCCTCCCATATCACATACAGGTCTAGAGATCTTATATGCTCAAGTGTCTGTCAAAATAATCTTGACTACAGTACCTCAAGTTTTCTGATGTGGCAAAAATTACTAATGTATTTATTGAGGTTTAGAGAAAAATGAAACACATTTTGAATGCAACTGCTGTGTTAACTCACCCCTGAAGAGTTCATAGTTCCCGAGGTGGCTGTCTGAGAGAATCTGGCTGAAGATGGGCTACGACTTAAAGAGTGAGACCTGTTCACTGAGGATGTTCGCTGCATTTGGAGACATGCTTTGGCTGAACAGGGGCGCTGCTCAGCTCCCTGGGACTGCATAGTGAGTATTGATATGGAACGAGGGCAGCTCACAGAACGCCTTATTGGACCTGTGGATGATGTGGGGGACGAATATGATGGAGACTTTACATTTTTGTTTGAAGGTTTGCAGTTCATTCTACCTGCAGACAGATCAAATTATGTTGTTATTTTCTTGACACCCATTTTTCAGTCTTTGTAACTAACAACACATATGATCAACTTATGCACAGATGTACTACAATTTGTGTTGACTAACAACTGTATATGTAGAGGTCAGTTGTGTCAGATCCCAATAATACAGAATTTGCATACTTATATGAACATTAATTTCTTCCTCATACTCAGATTTAATCAGGCAGTCTCCAATCCACTATAACATGCATGAAATATATGAGAGGGGGCATATGCTCTTTAGGTTAAAATGCATGTGACTTCTGTGCGTGGTTTCCTGACTATAAGGATATGGAAACAGGAGAGAAAATTTGCTCAATGAATCCCACATTTGCAGACCCAGTATCTCTCATTTGCTATGGCATAGTTACACCATTTTTTAAAATTCAGTTTTCAGCTAAACAAATACTGCTTTAAAATTGAAAATTTTAGAAGCAGCATTATACATACGCAACTACCTTATAAAATTCTTTGAGACAGCACACCACCAAAGCAAAAAATAACATGGTTTATCTATGAATTTAGAAAACAGTTTAAAGAAACTGAAACAAGTAAACCAGTGCTTAACCCTGAGATACAAAGTTGACACATTGTAAAAGACTGAAGAATTTAATATAATTCATCGTCAGCGCCAGACTTCCTTGGAAAAGTGATCATTGAAGTTACCTGATCGCTCCAAAGATTTGTATTTATTTTCTTCAAGATCATATGAAACTCTTTTCTCTTTTTTTTCATTGCGATCTTCCTTTTCAGTTTCTTCTCCCGATTCTGACACACTGCTACCACTATCACAGCTGCTGTCACTGCTGTGGTTCCTAGATTTCCTTAAGGAATGTGCACTTTCTGGCATTGAACACAAGGGCTAAAAAAAAAAGAAAAGGGAAAAAAACACCCAAGAAATTGAATTGAATCCCAAAGAAACAGCCGACTATCACACAAGATCCCTGATTCAGGCAGGTTCAGGCAGAATCTGCACAGCTATAAACCCTCCCAAATTGGATTGGAAGTTTGTCCTAAATTTTAAAATAATTGCTTAAATATTTCATTAAATTCATTCCACTGTAATTCTAATCTTTGTCACATGAAGAGCAGCATAATATAGGAGGGGGGGGGAATTATTTTAAGTATAAATTGCACTACCAAACATATTAAATTATGATTTGAAATCATAAATCAATTGATACAGAATATGATTTAAAATCAGTTCAGGATCCTCACTGATATTTGCAATAACTGAAGCTACAGCTTAACAATCACGATGAAGTAAAAAAATACATCGAGGAACTTTGGCTGTTTTACTTTTAAAAAGTGATTAATCCACATCCTGCAGAGAGCAGAAACCAAAGAATATATAGCAAGCTGTGCTGGGGGTTCTTGGTGCCTCATATGCACATGGGATTCAGGGTCATTAGCTAATTAATCCTTTTTTATTACCAAGGATACTGCAAGACAAAAACCAAAACAGTGGAGACAGAGAAACTGATCCAAAAACAGAAACTACAATAGAAAATATTTTGTCTTCCATCTACCATCAGTCAGACACAAAAAATGCAGTATCTTCCATTATATCTGTTCTCCTAAGTAGGCTTATGTGATCACCTTTTTTTCCTACACACTTTCTTTCCAGTAACTCTCAGCTATAAGAAACTATGCTGATGGCCTCATCCATCTAATTTACAATTAAAGCTCAGATTTAAAAAATAAATTAAAATCATAATTTCTGGCCATAGTTTGAGTCAAAGTGAAAACTCTCAGGAAGAACTTTAATTTTCCTAACATCTTAACGTAATGTAATGCACCTAGATTTATTATGAGGGTAACAGAAAAAAGTCCCAAAACATCCTGTTGCTGCACAATACACTTTATAACTAAATAGATGCTACCTAAACTTCTGTTTCAGACAAGGAAGGGAAGGGATTTCTGCCACTAACTAATAGTATGTTTATGCCATCCCAATCTGTTAGACCAGATAAAGAGATGTTAGAGAAGAACACCGCATTGAGGAGAGCCCTGACAATTGTTGTAACACAAAAGAATATGTTGATTTATATCTGCCTGCCAAAGGGATAAAATGTGCCTCAACACAAACCACTTTATTAAATAAAAATAGCTGTTCCTATCATAAAATGCAGTGTGTGGTGGAGACATATTGATCAGACATTCCTGAGGAGTTCAACAAGGTATAACAAACATTTTCAATCATAGCTCACAGGGGCTTTAAGATAGATTTATTCCACTTATCATATGCATGTTCCTCACACATTCTACAGCAAACAATAGTAAAAAATATTAAAAAACAATATAAATTAACAAAGAAGAATAAAACAAACAAAGAAATTACAAAAAGCAATAATGACAAATAATAGCTGAACCTGGGTATAAACTGATCTCTTAATGAGATATTTGATTGCCTAGCACATCTAATCACCTTGATTTTACCCTTATGCTAACCCAATTTTTTTGTGATTAAGCTCATCTGATCTTATACCAAAGAAATTAAGATTGATTTCTCATTTACTCTACAACATTTGTTATTTTAGTTCCTTAGTCCACTGTCCTGCACACCTGGGTAACCCTGAAAGTGTGTAGGTGTCAGGAGCCCTCTAGAGGCTATAAATAAACTGGACATTTCTAGAATGCACTTCTCCATCTATGCAAAATTCAGTGATATTTTAAGTGCAGGAAAAAAAGCCTTCATTCTGTGAAATTCTTGATTTCTTTTTTCCTACACTGAGTTCCTATTCAAATTCAAATAAAAATAAGGCTGAATTTCCTAGAAAATATGGAATAATTGTAAATGCAAAGCTTGCATTTATTTATACTCGCACAGCCCTCAACGTCTCCTATGTATAGGCATGTATGTGGAAATGTAGATGTTTATATATGTATCTATGTATGGAGGAGCATGGGGAGGAGCACACCCCTCTCTCCTAACTCTTCCAGTTGTTTTGCTAGTTTTCTGAGTCCTGACTGCTGGGTTTTTTCAAGGAAGAGTGCAACCCAAGGCTGTGCATCTGACCTAAGAGTATCCTCTGTCAGCAGGGCAGCCACTGAATTTAAGAGGGCTCAGACTCCATTACCTTCTCAAAGAACCTTTCGTGTTGCATTACATGATATGAAATGTACTGGTCCTGTGGCTGTTTTGTTGGTTTAGTTTTCTTCTATTAGATCCTGCATGTGTATATAGTTCTTTATTTGTAGGATGTTATGGTTACAAGATGAAGTTTGGACATTATGCAGCCAGAGAAATCTCTGGTTACATGTCTTCGCTGTAGGCAAGGTTTAAATAATTGAGAAATTTATCAGGTCCATAAAACGATGCAAGAATAAGAATCCTGCATAGCAAGTGTGCACAGTGCAAGGAAAAGAAACAGTCTCCCTGGACTAGCTAGTTTCATTGTTTTCTGTTTTGATTTCATCCATTTTAGGGGGAAACAAAAAAGAAAATTTTGGTCATAAGCAATTGTTTCTTCTCCTCTAAGTGGGAACAATATTGTACCCGTAAATCATTAAAGCTGTGATTGACACAATCCATTTGCCTGCTATAAAAGAAGACCATGGCATATAGTCTTACCCATAAATTAATCAAAATTCATCTTAAAATTAATTGAGAGAGGTTTCTCAGTTTGGGCTTAGTACCCTATTAATGTTTAATTAAATGTTAGAGAGTCTCCAGCCTGGGAATGCCTTGTGAGCAAGGAGTATAGAGGTAGAATAGAACAAGTCAGTGTGCATACAGGAGACCAGATAGGTTCTCTCCAAGGGCTGCTGGGAAAAGACAGGCTTCTGGAAAAAGGGAAAAATGTGATTGAGATGTTAAACTTGGATAACTGACCCCATGTTAAAGAACAGAAAACAAAATTTCAAGGAAAAGAATCTCAGTAAGAACGTGGACTGAGTATAATGCTAGAGTGGACTGGGGTTTTTTTCTCCTGTTTAAATGAATCCACTCCTGTTAAAGCACAAGTTCACAAAATCCCCATATTTTAATGAGGTCCCTGCAAATCTATCTTAATACCAGATTGGGCATGTAGATCCTCTTTCCAGAATGCATGCCTGTAATAAGATGTAGCTCTTTGGATTCTTGCACATATTTAAAGTACCTCTTCAAGCTCAGAACAATTGTCAGCATTCATTTTTTGTACAGATACCCACAGATTTGTACACCATGTCATCAGAAACATAAAATGCTGGGAAAAATTTTACATGCATCCATAAACAAATCCATCAAAGCTCAGAACAGAGATGTAGGCTCTTCTAAACAGACTTGACCTAAAATGTTTACAGGATATAAAAAACATACTTATTCTAGCCAAGCCGAAACTATTTATCCTTACTGGCTTAGAGATATGCAGTTTATTTAAGGCAAAGACTCACATGAACTATGCACACAAGCAGAAAGCATTAAGATAAAAATAATATACATTCACATTAAAAGCAGATTTTGCATACAAAATGGGTTCCAAGATATACTGTACAACCCTCTTAGCAAGGGAGCAAGCTATAGATAAATCAAAATTATAATTAATTCTTTGACTTTCCATCCCTTTTATCCCATGATCTCAAAAATCCTAATTTTGGCACTAATCAATTAGAGATGAAAACATTCTTTTGAGATACACTATTGATATAAAAATCCTTTCATACACTGAAATCAATCTCTCATACAACAGCTGTTGCCATCCATGGCAATTCCCTCAAATGGTTTACAGAGGGAAAGAAGGAACACATATTCCCATAAAAATTTAATGGAATTCAGTGGGACAAATGGTAGTGATACCTCTAGCAATACTTAAAAAAAAAAAAAAAATAGAAAGGGTTAATTACAGTCTGAGGAAGAAAACTTCCAGTAGGATCGGCTAACTAAATTCCCCACTTAAAATTCTCAGAAAACCTGTCTATGGAGTGAAATAAAAAATTGCTATCTAAAAGTCAAATACCTTAGGTCCTCGCTGCCTGGTGCATTTTCCCATTAGCTTTTCATCATCTATTTCACATTGCTCCAGAAGATCCAAAATGTCCTCCTCCTAGAAATGGGAATTTCATTACTATTAATTCAAAGCAGGACATACTCTGTCCTTCAAAAACTCAAGCAGAAAGTGGTAGAAATTTGAAATTACTCTGATTATTAATTCCTGAAATAGGACTGTGAATTCCTCCATAGGAGAAAATAGAAATATTTCTTCTCGTGCATGCATCTCTCCTTCCAAGCAACATGAAATTGAGGGTTAAAATCAAGTCTTAACATTTATTAAAAATAGAAGTCTGAAGAAAGGATTGAACAAAGATTCCTGTAAAGCTGCCAACTACAAAGATGCAAAATTATTTCTCAGATTTCAAATTACATCATGTTAGCTGGTTATTAAAATAGCTGTTTTCCTACTGTCTCCGACAAAATGAGTATGCAAATCAGGTAAAATTTTTGGATGTTCTAAATCCTTAAAGGAGTGGAGCTGGTTTTAGGATATCTCTTGTTCCAGTCCATACAAGTGGATGAATAGGCTGGGAACATTACTGGAGGAAGAAGGAGGCAATTAACAGCTCAAAAGCAGTTTTTGCCAACCTCTGGTTTGACCAGGGGTAAGGCTGAGGATCAGGGATATGCTAAAGTAGCTTAAAGCCATTTAGCCTGTCTCCACCCTGGGTCCACTGCAGTTCATCCAGATTCAAGGATCTGGCCCACAAGCTGCACAAAGAATAATAATAAGATCATGGAACATTATCAAATGCTATTTATTAGCCATCACACATGATTATAGTGAAACTAATCCCTGAGGTCATGAATTCAAAGACAAGTAACTCCTAAAGCCAGTACTCAGTGGACTTTAGTACCTTCATTCTTTTTAAGGGGTTATTCATTTCCCGCTGAAGTGAAGCTGCTCTTCCAGCAAGAAATGTCTGGAAAGCGGTGGCTAACAAACTCTCATACTTTTCAAGTAATGTCTTGTCATCAGGAGGGTAAATTCGCCTGAAAAAGGAATAAAGGAGAGTTTAAGATAGAAGCTGAGGCATTCATCACACAAAAGTAATGTCACTAATACACAGTCTCTTTTTTAATGTGTACACATCCCATCCGTAATAATTATATAATATCAAATCTTAAAACATGTACCCTGAACATTGCTCTCTAAATCTACTTTTAATTCAGTGAACACATTCATGTTTAAACCAGCAATTAGCCAGTCAAAAGAAATATCATGTAGGTCATTCCAGAGGCATACCAAAACCCAGTTTTGCAGTGCTTAGAAATTTCAGTGGGTGTGAGTGATGCATACAGGTGTGAATGATTCATGAAATATTAACAAAATATTTTATGTCAAATTCAGAGCCACAAGATACTTTGCATTAGCAATAAAGGGACATAAACCAATTTGTATTAGCAATCAAAGGACACAAAACAGTGAAAATCTGAACAATCGCTTTGATCCCATGGGCAGGATATGAATTAAAGATTGAGAATGTACTGTACTTGAATTATAAATCCTCCAAAAAATTAACATGAAGAAATAGATGTTATAAGGAAGAAAAAAAAAAAAAACAACTGGAATATCAATGTATACAGTGACTGATTTTCCATTAGAGCAGCTATGCCATTATTCTCTAAAATCACAGGTAAGGAGATTATAACAATATCAGAAGCGGGATATGGTGATTTATTAATGTTCATCAAGCAACAACAGGCTTTGAAGAAAACCATTTGAATCCATCTGTCATGAATACCTGAAACACAGCCAGAAATATGGCTAAGATGGAAGACTAATTTTTAATATTTTTGCAAGGAGTAATCCAGAAGTTAATTTTGCCTGCACTGTGCAAGGCATGGACTTCACTGACACAGTGTATGACATGTGACTTTTATGTATTTGTGAATCATTTCTGAACTTCTTACAAGTTTCTTGCTTTTTCTCATTCTTCTTTTTCAGATTTTTTTTTTCTCCTTGAAGAAGTATCTACCATGAGGATTTTGTTGCAATGAAAAAAAGGATTATATGATACCATTAGTCTCAGGGCAGTTCTAGAACAAAATGAAGATGGTTCCAGTTTGCATTAAACACTTAAAGGAGATTTAGGTTCTAGTTTAGTTTTGGTCAACACCTTTTAATGGTGTTGATTCTACTGCAGAAAAAATGCCATAGAAGAATGCTTTAAAGAAAGGGTAATATTCTTAATGTATTTACAAATAGACTGCATCTAGAGGCTTTTTCAAAGCCATGTGCATCCTTTCCAATTCCTCATGATTTCACAAGCGCTCGAAAATGTGGCTCCTACTTCAGCTGCCCCAAGACTCCCACTGGAGCTGCTGTGCTTGCAGACAGACATGGACTAAGCCAACTGCTGAGCAGATATCCACAGAATAAATCCAAACCTCCTGAGTTTGACTGAGGTTTCTCTAATTTTTATTCAGAGTGCAATATTAATCCATTGATCAGTATTAGCATCCAAAATTTGCATGATTCTATGTCAATAGAATGCCTGAGACAATATAGTCCTGCTCTACTGAGGAATATCACATGGAGAAAATGCTACATAATAGTCAGATAAAATTTCTCTTCTCTAGTCAAAATTACTTTCCTTCTCATGTTCTGCTAATCCTTCAGCCTTTTCTCAAAGACATGGTAACAAGAAAACACAAAGCTGTTCTGCCTTTTTACAAGTGCACATTCCTCATGAAATGACACTTTACTTTTTCCTGAGGAAAAGAAAGTTTTGTGTTTTTACTGGTTTACATTAACCCAAAAGCTAAATAAAGAGAATATGTGTCTGATTTTCAGTCAAGAACTGAATAAGCAACTTAAAATGTGATCAGTTAATAAGCTGGATGTTTAAATTAGCAAAAAGAAAAATGTGTTAAAGCATCATAGTGCTTCTTTTTCTTTTAGTAGCACAAAAATAACCACTTTATCACTTCATTGTACACCTAGAGGTTTTTTTCCTTACTGTTCAGCTCCACACATCAAGAAAATATGTAATTAAAGTTACAAAGAAAGACTCTTTGTAAGCAAAATCTTAAGTCATCAAAAATGTGAATTTCACAGAAATATCTATCTGTTTAAATGAGAATTTTATTGGGAATTGTAGAACATCAGCTCTAAAACAGGCAGCAATGAAGAACAGCAATAAAGGCATTCTGACTAGTTCACAATAAAATATGTGAACTCAGACCTCTCACACCCTGGATGAATGTTGTAAAGAGTGGGCAAATACTCCCACCATTTCTTGGTAGCCATACTCTGCCCCCTTTCACCAAATATTCCTAGGTCATGCTTTCACTTCTCAATGAAGCAAATATTAATAAATAATAATAATAATAAAAACATTACAAAACAAAATTGTTTTCTGGTCAATGTCTGTTGTAACCGACAATGTAAAACCCTCTTTTGAACATATTTTACCAAGGAATCTGAAGATACTTATATTTCAGCCTACCAAGATCCAAAATCAAAGTCCAAAAATACAAATAAAGTATTTCAAATGTAACTCTATTCAAAATGATGGAAGCACCCATAAAGTTTCTGAGTTTTTGGCAATCCTCAGAGATATCATTAAAATATGATGTTTTTACAGGGGAATAATCATACTGCACCCCCTGCCACCAAGATAAGAATGATAATATGTGATTAGAGAACAGGTCCATAACAAATTTATTTATTTATTTCAATTAATATATTTATATATTATTAAATTTAATATATACAATCATGATACTTGGTACACTGAATATGAAAAATCATGTCTTTTAAGCAAATGTCTTGTACAAACAATAGGGTGACTGATGTCATATAAATTCCTAAGTGCATGGAAGAATTTGGAACCAAGAAAAGAACCGTCTGAAAAAAGATATCTGATGTACATGTTTATGTTTTCTATAAATGCCTACACATTTTCAGCAGAAAATTATCATCTACCCCAAATACTTGTTTCCACTGTTCCTAAAGAATACACTGAATACTTCCTACTAATACAGTCAAAAAAGTTCACCTGTAGTTCCCCATGTGTCTATTTTCATGCTCCTCTTTGGAAATCTGTTTACGTACTTGTGCAAGTCTTTCCTTCTACAAATCAAGAAAGTGAGACAATTAAAACAAAAGGGAATATAAACCGTGAGCAAGAAACAACACTTTTTTTCCCTTCCTACCAGTTCTTGTTTTCTCCTTTCCAGTATGTGGCGCTGCTTCTCCCAATCTGAGGAACCTGGCAACAGTTTTTTCACTGACCCTTGGCCATACAGTCTCTTTTGAGCCTCAGCCTTCTGTTGGGCTAAATTTCTCCTTTTATCACTTGTCCTGAAACACAGATGATATTAAGAAATGTCAATTCAATGCAGCTGAAATGAGATGCAATTTCATATCAAGTACATAATCTGTATTTTCCAGTCAGTTGTATGTTTATCTTATAAAATTAGAATTTAAATATCCGTTAAGATTTTTTCTTAATATTAACTTTCATGGCTACAATATTTTCAGACTTTAAGGGATACTGACTCTGTGCTATAATTTAATGTACAAATGTGGTTGTATCTATTTTCCTGAAGTGTAGATTTTTTTCAATATATCTTGGCTACGAAGTTTTCCTCTAGAGAGATATGACTTTTGACTGAATATGACACAAGCAAATTTCCTTTATGGTCACACACTCATGACTGCACACATGTGCCAACTTCAAGATGTGTTTGAAAAATTTTTAAAAATAAGTACAAAAATTACTATTATCATTCATTTTTTGCAAGCATATATGCATGAAGAAAAAATAAATTTAGATTAATTTCTATAGCAAAACTGATAGCAAGGGAAACATTTACATTTTGAAAATATGAAGATGGAAAAAGTTTTTTCATTTTCTCTGAGTCCAAATTAAAAAAAAAGAAATCAAAGTAACAGAAATAAAGCCAGACTGAAGAAAAGCAGACAAGGTACCGTATGTTGAGAAGCTTTAATGCATTTAGCAGAACACCTTTTTTTACATCATAGTCTATTTTTTGATCCGTTCCAAAGCTTGGGGCACGATTAATCTGAAAAAAAAAATGAGACACAGAAGACTCAGGAATGTTCAGGTTCACTGGGAACACACCTGTTGTAACAGGCTTTGTAGAAATGGTTCTTTAAATACAGCAGAGATTAAAAGAATACATGTTGAGTTCTTTTCCATTTGTATATTTTTTTGAATAGAGTACTGAGTATCACAGATACTGGGAGCTGGGAAATGTACCCTTTCAGTCACCAGGTTATCCAGACATTTACAGTGAACACCATTCAAGTCCTGCCACTGTGAATCCAGTCTAATCTACTCTTGGTTGCAGCCACCAGAAAATTTACCAAACAAAGGGATGTTGAACACATCATAACAGACCATGTGCCATGCTATGGTGGTCCAGCACAGAAAGAATTAAACTCTTTCCTGTTCCCAGTCTGAAAGAAACTTTAAATACTACTCGAAAAAGTAACAACTATGCAAGGATAGAAAAAGGCTCTAATCCAAGGTCTTCTAAAGCATATTTAAACAACTTTTCACATATACTTGACAGCAACACATAGAGATCTAAGTTATTAAATCAGTACATAGTGTGAAAACGTAAGACAATTAACAGTCTCAGCAAAAAAACGTTTATAAGCCATGTACAAGATCAGAGATTAAAAATGGTACCATAAATATAGAGAAATAAGGAAAATGCAACTGGCAATCTCATAGTGAGACTAAATCATACACTTAACAGCCAGAAGCCTCAGCCTGCCATCCTATAGCCCTAACAAGTTTTGGACTCCCTGCAGAACCTAAATTTTCAGGAAGATTTGAGAAGGAACAATAATTTATTCTAGGAACTCTTTCCAGGCTGGTATAAAAATTTATATTTGAGTAATGGGTGCTAATGATAAGCAGGAATCCCACCTTGATAGTGAACGAACAGTGCTGGTTACAGAAGGGACAGATAAAAAGAGGTTCAGAAATGTAAACTGATACCTTGTGCCCCACTCAAATCAGAAGTGGGATACAGTTTGCATGTCCAAAGCAGAGGGCGAGAGTAGTTTATTTTGTTTTAGCACTCTAAATACATTAGAGCATCCTAGAGCCTCTACAGCTGTGGGACAGAACCATTGTGGCTGCTATGCCACCCAGTGTCCTGTTGCTGAGTTCCAGCTGCCCCATCCCTTGTGCTGATAACTGACAGCTTCTGGCTTTGGGAATCAGCTCCTTCGCTGCTTTTGCAGACTGGCAAAGTGAGCAGTGAGATCTGACGCTGAAAATTTAGCAGAAATAGCTGAAAAGACTTATACATACTCTTTTTGGAAGACTTTCATCAAATTTAATTGCCCAACCTCTTTAGACTGCACTGTTCATCTACTATAATATCACAAAGAAGACAATACAGTTGCTGACTAATCTTTAAGACTGTGGCATTGTAATCTTGATAATGTACTAGTGATATGCCACACTAGGTATTGATAATTACTGGTTACCAAACCATTGTCTGTTCATCTGTCAGCCAGGAGATGGTTACTTAGAGTTCAGTGACCCAAGAACCAGGACATGCACAACTAGGTTCTGCTAATATAACATCAGGAATTTTATCAGCAAGAAACATGTTGAAGATTATTGTCAAAAACAGGATTGTATGAGGGACCCCAAAAGTACAAGAAAATGATGATTGCAAATGCCAGTGGCCAAACTGTGTGTTTACAACAGGAATGCAACCTTGTAAACTAGATAATATTGGGTGTAGGGGTAACAAAGAAAACATATGGCATGATTCCAGGAGACATAAAAAGACTTGTAGTAAAACTTTGGAGACAGTGTGGAATTGCTGGCCAAAAAACAGTCAGTAAGTTGATGGTGGCAGCAAACAAAGAAGAAAAACCCTAAGTGAAATTAAGAGCAAAGACAAAGAAAACTACACCATCAACAGTGTGTTGTTCCTGGTGAAGAACATAAGATACTGAAAACTTGGTATAACCACCTATTCATCTCTTTTTGGACAAGTAAACTTCTCCTACCACATGCTGGCCTTGGGTTATGTCCAGGGATACAGATAGGGCAAGCATAACACAAGAGAAACAAGTAGAAGCCAGAAAGTTTGTGTATCCTATTTCATTAACAGGAATTAGCAATAACTGTTCGGTTTAAGATGTTCACATTCATTCCACCTGGATTGACTACAAAGTTTTGAACAGCTAGCTTTTGCTAGCTTGGTGACACTAAATAATAAATTTTTGAATGTCTATATAAGGTTTCTTTTGCCTTGCCCACATAAATCACAAGGGAAGTTAGGCACCCTACACTTGAGGAAATTATTAAAATACATATTATCTTTTACTCCAGTGATCACAACTTTGTGATCCTAACTGAATATTATGAGGATGAACAAGGCTGGAGTCCATCCAAGAACTTCAACTATATGATTTTTTTTTTTACATAAAATAAACTAACTTGGAAATTTGGGTCAAAAAGTAAAACTGGATTTCCCGGGAACTGAAGAGAGAACTAGGTTGTTGTTGCTACAGAGAAAGGATGCGGGCTGCACAGATCCTTGCCAGAAGCATTTGGTGCCACAAGATGGCAATCATGCATTTCCCACAACCCTCACTATGGTAGAAGGTTCCGGAAGTTCAGTAGCATCAAGGAGCAGGGGAGCTACAATGCATCAAAGCAATATAAACAAAAGTCAATTCAGGAAAGCAGAGTCATTACAATATGTTGCACAATTTATTTCTTTTAATAGTTTGTTAAGCTATCCTTATAACAGAAAAGCTACATGAGGCATGGAAACATGAAACTAATCATCCTAATCCTATTTTGGCAATTTTCCCATAACACTGGGAACATTCAGGGCCTTGTGATTAGGACTTGTTACCACCGTTAGAAAGAATGATTCACTCCCCTAAGGGGGTTTTGTATATACACTGCAGATTTGACCTTTACTACACTACACACAGTATACATACAGTCTGCATGCATCTACATATTCTGTTGGAAGTGCCGCAAAAAAGCATGAACAAGCAAAGTAAAAAATAGTAAACGAGTGTACAAAATGAGTAAGTTTCAAAGTTTGAAATTTTGGTTAGTTTGGGTTAGTCTGTCTGACATAATAAGTTGAAGGATACCTGTATTACCAAAAGCAGAAAAGGAAATACTTAGACTTTTGCATTTAAAAAAAAGTAATAACCAGGTACACAGTTCCAAATCCTGAAGTATTCTTCAGCAACTCAAAATACCAGAGGAGCATTTACTGCTTTACTCCCTCATATGCAAAGAGTTCTGGGATTGTATGATTCTCCTGAGACCTGTAAGATTCTCCTCTGAGACCTGTAAGTGGTGACTCAAACCCCCCAAAATCTCCATACCTCATGGAAACATGAGAGGAGACAGAGAGGTGTCCTTCAGAATGGACTCCCTATGCTGGCTGACTCACCATTCTCACAGCATTTGCTACAAGGCTGAATGAAATGTTACACAGACCCTTCAGTCTGCACTTAAATAACTACACACAGCAATATGCAAGCTACAGGCAAACTATAGATGATAATCTGAAAGTGCAGTGCTAAATCAAAGGGACAGCAAGCTTCACTGGACAGAAACAGAAGATGTTGATGTAGTACAGACTAAGTTCATGTCATGTGCTGCTTTTGGCAAGAACATCAAAGCCACCAAATATGCTATGTCTGCATGGCAACAGTAGAGGAATTTTATTTTTCAAATTAAAACTATAATGAACTCCTGAGAGAAATAAGCATGACAAAACAACTTTTGACAGCATTAATGGCCTGAAAATGAGGTTATAATTCAGTAAATTAACTGTATACATTTTGTTCATCAGTAGCCAAATCATATTCATGGCTTGCTGTCAATAGAGAGATTTTGAATACATTTTGCTTTACTCCCCAAGTTGCACAGCCTCCCAGCCAGTTAACAGAATGGAATAAGACAACCTGAAAAAAGACAAGTGAACTTCATCTATATGTTATTAATAGGGCAATATAAGAGACATAACAGACAAATCTCAAACACTCCTGGTTGAAAATGTGTACCACTAATATATCAAAGTAATGTTTCTTCCAGTCCCATCATACCAATTGTTTGCAGAATTTCCTGTATATCAAATCAGTTTTCTCTGCTTTTAAAAAGCACAGGAGATGAAAGGAACACATATCCCCAAAAATGAGAAAATTAAAAGCATGCATTCATAAAAGTTACCAGGGCCATATTACATAGCCATACCCATGAAGGAAATCTACGTAGCACCCACTTGTATAATCGAGGTCCTCCAGCTACAATAACAACTACATTACCATTAAATTTGTCATTAAAACTTTCAAAAACATTTGAAATGCAACATCAGTCCAGGAAAACAATTACCTTTCTTTCAGTATCAAAAATCACTGCAAGGTGATCACTGCCCTTCTGTATGGATGTTGAAGAAAAGCACCATTTATGTACTCAACAACTGTGCACAGATTTTCTTTGCAAGTTTTCTTACACAGATATGTGTTCAGCTGGGGCATAATTAACTTTACTGCTAAAAACTTGCTTTACATCTGTATAAAGAGATTTACCTCTAGGAGCCATGGTTTTAGTTTTCTGTCCAGCAGAATATCAAATCCCAGGACTTCAAAGCAGACACTGTCACTTCCTGGGGCTTGCCCTGGCCTGCACATGCGATAAGCGTGAAGAACATGTGGCTCTGCAACTATCAGAGTCTTCACCACCAACTCCTGCAGGGATTTGTTTCAGAAAAATTCAGAGAAAACACCAGCATTTACTGAACTACAGTGCTTCATGTTTTAATATTTTAAATTTCGTTTACATATCTACTAGAAAAAGAAAAGATTTAAAATTCCAAAGAAATAGTCTATAATAAACAAACTATTCCTATGTAGTACCATGTATAATTTTATATAGTTCTAGATATATTGTTATGCTTTCCATGGTACATACAAACTTTGAGACTTGTAATAAGCTAAATAATAAAAGCAAACTGGCAATGAAGTGTAGTACAGCCAATCTTCAATCCATTTCATTTTGCAGTGTAATTTCTGGTAAGTGTCCTCAGAATCATACAAATCCAATAATCTGAAGTCTATTCCTCATCTGAAGACACCGGTAACAGAACACTTCAATGGTGCTTGATTAAGTACATAGATATTTGCAACACTGACTAAAATTTTGTAAATATTCACACATAAAATTCACTTTATACACTAAAATAAAGTCTCCAAGAACTTAAATGGCATGATTCCTTTGAATCATATTACTTATGTGAATAACTGTTTGAAAGGACTTTTGAGCCTCAGAAAAATGCTAACATTAAATTTATAATCAGATTATGAATTTAGTCTTTTAAAAAATATAATAATAGTTTATAGTATGTTCTTTGTGACATCCACTGCTGAGAATTTGGATTAATAAAGTCTCAAAAATAATTCTGAATTGCAGTAAAGCAGATGGCAGAAGCAATTAATTTTCTAAAAATACACAAAATAAAGAAAAGTGATTTAGTCTATCTTACTGAAATATCACTCCAGAATTTGGAGACATCGAGATTATTTGTTTCTAGAAACTCAGTAAACCATTTTATGGAGCGTTTGCTTCCTTTGTCTTCTGTTTCATCCCGTTCAAAGTGCTCATTATGTTTATTGACAGAGTAGTTAGTCAGATGCATATACAATTGACTCTAAAAAAAAAAGGAAGAAAGGACACTTAAAAAACTTTAAAAACAATTATGAAACAGTCAATTCAAAATCAAGTAAAGAAAAATTTACATTCAATCAATAATGACATAATCAAACAGCTCATATTTGCAAATACACTATGTACAGGTTTAGTGTTTCTGATGACTGAATGCTCTGTAGCCTTCTTACAACAAAAACTGGGCTTCTACTTAAGCCAGTTGCAGTGAACTGATCTACCACTCCACATCTGGTTAGATAATGTATCTGCCATTTTTACAGGTCTGTATGTAAACAACTACCTAAAAAAGTAAAGAGCAATTATCATAACTTAGAGAATGATTACATTCCACAAGAAGCAAACAATAAAGATGGTATTTTGAAGTGCTACTTTAAAAGTGCTAAAAAACACTCTGACATCTGCTTCATAGACAATCCCACATTTCAGTTTTCACTGTAGCTTACTTATGAGAAGTGTTCTCATGATAGTGATACTTTAAACTATCTTTTACATATAAACTCATCTGCCATGCTGATATCTGCCAAAATTGCTCATTTTTAACTGGCTGGTAGCCATACATCAGAGGGAGGTAAATTTCAAAACACACATTACATAAATGACTGAGTGCCATAGTTCCTTTATGGAGCAAAATGTCACCAGCAATAGACTCACATTATCATTTGAATGTAAAGAAAGCATTCCCTTTCCAAGGCCAGTTTATAAATCATGATCCGTACATTTACATTATCTCCCAGAGATTAATTCAGCTTTTCACTTACACCATGGCGATGTCTGTCCTCATCACAGTGACAGTTCTCTGTCATGTTTGATTATATACATGAGAGTAGATGATATTCTAAGGTGACCATAAGCCTTCTGTTCCAATTCATCTTTAATAGATAACACAAGCCTTCTGCTGTGACTTATCTCACTACACTTCCTTATCTTTAAAAACTTTAATGAAATTGCCGAAACCAATTTAATTGCAAGCTAGTTAACAATATATTGTAGTATCACTAGAAGCAATGAATTTCTCCCATGGCTTCATCACTCCTTTAAGAATCATTCTGAAATGTATTGGTTTTGAGTCATCTTTCCATGAAATTCAAATTATTTCAGACAAAAGTAATTATTTGTTAGACAAAAAAAAAAATTAAAAAAAAGCTTGTACATATGAACTGATAGTACAAAGTTATTTGGAACAATGTCACTGTGGAAAAATGTCATCCAAAAAACAATGTCATTAGTGACAAGCAGGTTATTTCACACAATAGATAACCTCCACCATGAGCAGTTCTGAGAACATAGAAACAACTGCCTGCTCTGTTTATCCACTCAGAGCATATTTCAGTGCTGCTAATGCCAAGATTAGCAGCAATACACAAATACTAAAAGCAAACTATTCCAAATATAGTACTGGAACACTTCCAAATATAGCATTTGTACTGGGCTTCAAATTGTACCTGCGTTTTTCAAAGGCACACAAAGCAATAGTCGCAATTTTAAGTTTCACATAGGCAAAAAGGCTCTACAGTGTTTTCTGTTACATAATTACACAGAAGCTGCTCTAAAAGCAATGGAGAACAGAGTGAGGTATACCAAGCCTAAATCTACTAATACCTTCCAATGCTGCAAATCTACTTCTTCCCTAGACATCTGCATTTTGATCTGAGCCAAAAGAGAAGGGTTTACACCCCCCAATAGGGCAACATGCTATACAGTGGAACAAGAGGAGGAAATTGTGCAAAATCTTTATCATGATCCTTACCATTTCTTGGTTTTCTCTATGTTTATAGCAGCCCTACTGAATCCCCCTATAGCTGTCAAGTACATACTCCTGTCCTGCTGAAGCAGTCACTGACAAACAGCAGCAGCAGCTGGAGATTCCCTCATGTTCAGGGACTGCAGTGAGCACTGGTCCCTTACAGTGCTCTCCTTTCTGCCTGAGTTCCCAGCAGTGGCTGGAACCTGGCAGAACCCTCAGAAAAGGCTCCAAACTTCATGGATGCTAATATATGATCTAGCAGGAGATAAACCTTATCATGACCCGCCTCCCCAGCCTCAGTCTCAGATGAACATAAAAGCAATGTGCCTGTTCTTAAAGTGATTTGATTTTCTTTATTTTTTGGGTTGATATATTTTGCTTTCCTCTAGAATATATTTAAACTCTTTAGCATACATGCATGCAAACTCATAGAATTTTTTTTTTATATAAGCAATAATGTGGCTATACTTGTGATTTTGGTAGAAAAGTATGTGTTAACTAGCTTTCACATAAATTTTTTTTCTCTTCAATGACAATGACAAAGTTTATCCAGATGAACTCAAGTCCCAGTTGGATCAATTTTATTAACTGCAAAAACTACACAGGTTAAAGTCTACACCATAAGCAATAAATTGAAATGAACTTCAACTTACCAAATTTGAGTCACTGGGGGGGTGATACTTCTCCGTGCCCATTCTCACCAGTCCATCATGATATAAAAATACTTTTAATGGATCACAAGAGGTTACAAGAATATACACACGTAAATCAAACTTGTAGCCTTCCATAAGAAATGGTTTATCAAGATATTCCTGAACAATTAAATGATCCTGAGCTTGTAACTTTTCTCCATTTCTTATTAAAGAGATCCTGGTAAAAAATAAAGTTATTTGAAAACTTGGACATTACTCTTTGAAACAGATTATCATGGTCATCCAGCCAATTAGTGAGGCTAAAGTCTATCTGGAGAAAGAGACTTAGATATCTGATTTTTAGAGCAGAGAAGTTCCATTCCCTTACAAGGATTTTGCTTTCCTGTCCTTTATTGTGCTTCACTACATGAAAAAAGGCAATGAGCCATTTCAAAGTAACTTTCTGCTTGCTTTGATTCAACAATTTGTAATAATGGGTTTGCTCTACACTTAGAAATTATTTGGCAGAACGACCAGTCTCCAGCTTCTGTGATTATTACCCATGCAGCTCTAAAAATAGACTTCCAGTCTTTGTCACAACTTCTGCCCAAGGTACAGACTGCAAAGAACTTTCAGTGCTAACCTTAGGTGATGAAGTTTGCAAAGCAGGACATGACCTGTGTGACTGAGGATGGCATAGATTAAGCTCAGTATTTCTGTATTTCCAGTTTCCTTACATCAGAATGGAAAAAGGTTTGCATATGAACAATGAATTTCCAGTCTCTAACTATATAGACTTTTAATAACTTTAAAATCTAATATTTTCAGTATACAATTATTAACCTGAAATTCCCAGAACCTTAATGCTGCCTTAATTCTCTATTATTTATTATACGTAAGTGCTGAATACTCCTAAGAGAGTGAAGTACTTTGCAGAAATCTCTCCGAACTATGCTGGTACATTTCCCTTTAGCTTATCTTTGCCCTTATCAAGAGGACTGAAAAATGAGGAAATGGATAAGTTTGGGACCCTTACTTTTATAGTAATTCTATAAAATATATAATTCTATACTATTCTTTTATAGTAATTCTAACATGCTGAGAAACTAAGAGCTTTACTATACTGTATAATTCAAATTGATATTAAAAGCAATAAAAGCTAAAACTAAAATACCTAAGAAAAAAACAACTCAAAATGCAATAGCAGTATTTATTTCATTGGATTTTTACTGTGCATTCCTGTCACCAACAAAACTTCTTCAACTCAACTGCAGGTTGCAGTCTCTTCAGGAGTGTGCCCTGCTTCCAAGAGTGCACATCCAGCCACATCCCCAACAGCATCTCCTCTGTCTCTCCTACACCTTGTGGCTGCTGCTCTCAAACACATTTCTGCTTCTCTGACTGGCTGCAGTTTTGGAACACAATGGGGTGTTTGGGCTGGTTTTAAAGCTGTGAAAGATCCTGACCTCCCACACAGCGTCCCAGCAGCCTTCAGCCACCAATACCCTGCCATTTATGCCGAATAAAATCTCACCCTATAAATCTAAGCACAGCAGAAAAATTCAAAATAAAATAACTCTGTTCTTAATAATTACTTCAATTTAAGGGTTGTGCAGCCTTCACCCAATACACTGACTTTCACACAACTTGAAAAAGAATCTTCTTACTAATACACAATACAGCTTACTAATACTAATATAGCTTCTGTTAATGTTGGAAGTAGCACTGGATTTCACCTTTGACAGCTAAGAAGACTGAAGTTATCTCACAACTCACCCATGTCCCATTGCACCATTAGCTGGTTTGACTATGAAAGTTTTCTGTCTACGTTTCTTCTTCAATTCTTTTACATAGTTCTGAAATTGTGTGTATTCTGCAGGAAAGATCCATGTTCGAGGAATGAAACTGTACTCCTGAGGCTGACTCTTGATCATTCTGCAAGAAAAGGGTAATTGAGTTAAAATCCTTTGACTATTTTGATGTTTCAATCCGCAAGATTAAAAAGCACTTATGACAATTTGATAAGGGAACTTTTTTAGCAAAATTCTGTAATATGAAAGCAAACTTTTGCTAATTTCTTTAAGAATAGTCAGAGGTCTATTACATATCCATATGTGTTATATTCAAAAGCAGATTATCTTGAGCATTTTTTGCTTATGTGCTTATTTTGTCTGGCATCCATCTCATTTCTTGGCATCCATCTCACTCCTGTTACAATTTTTGGCCAGTTACTCAAATGACTTAATGATATTCCTATTCTTAGAAATATTTAACTTAAAACAAAACATGAATTTTTTTTGGGGGGGAGGGGGTGGACAGGGGGGT